TGTCACCTTCAGGGCCGGGCCCGGGGCCTGCCCCCGGGGGAGCCGCTTCTCGCCCGGCGTCTGGGCCCCAGGAAGGGGCTGTGCTGCCTTATAAGCGCTCCGGCGCCTCGGGGCTTCTTTCCGGGCCGTCCAGAGCAGCCGGGTAGCGGCTCTGTCCCTCTCTGTTTTCCCGTTTGTGGTGCCTGTGCCCGCTCCCCTCGAATCCCGCTCTTCTTCCTCCTCCTTCCTCCATCTCCGGCGTCCCCTTTGTGTCCCCGACAAGGCCCCCACTTCCCCATCAGGTAACTCAGGAGGTGTCAGGGCTGATCTCTCCCCTGGTAGAGCCCAGGCTGTAGCTGGTATTCACAGCTTGACTTCCTTCACCTGGAATTATTCATTTTGCTTTTCCCTTCTCCAAAGTTGAGCACTTCAGCTCACTTCTTACCTCACTGGTGGCTTTTATTTGGGGTGGCTTTCCGTGGGTCCCGCCTGGCACTCCCCACTGCCACTGAGACACCCCATGAACCCCCTGACACCCTAAACCCTCTAAATTAACTCTCTGCAACTTTGGGGATGGTCTTGGTCTGCCCCCCATCCCCAGCTGGGGTGAGGAAGGAAACGGAGCCGTGGTTTCAGGACCAGGCATCCCCTGCCTAGTATAGGCATAGGCACCGTAGTCAGCAAACCTCTCTGCCCTCACCCCCATGGGCTGTCGATCCCCATGAATATTTGATGCTGGATGGGGGTTGCAGAGCCATTTTCTGCTCTCTGGGCTGTGGGCAGAGCTGCTTTCCCTGTCACAAGATGGCTCCAGGGGTTTGCCAGCACCAGGTTGCTCCGATCAGCAGCTCAGGGTTGGGGTAAATGCCTCGTAGAGACAGTGTTGGCTTCAGTGCTGCTTTGACTTGCATCATTGGGTTTAGTCACGATGGGTAACGTCACGGTAAGAGCATCCTTGGCCCTGCCACGGTGTCGGTGTCGCAGTCACGCCGCGGTGTCACGGTCACTCCTGCAGCCCTGAAACCAAAGGGCCATGAGTCTTTTCCTTCTCCAACCCCGTTATGGTGCCCAGGCTCAGGATGGGAACATATCGTCCCCAAGAGCCCTGGCACCGTGTCCGCCTGTTGACACCTTCTCCAGTTGCAGTTTTGGAGAGGCCCCGCGCTGGGGAGCGGGGGAGCTGGGGCCGGGTGCCATCGCCTTCTGCTTTCGCACCCAGCAGCTGTGTCCGTCCCTGCGGGGTGACCCTGCCCTGCGTGGAAATAGCAGCTGAAGGCTGCTGTCCTCCTGGCAGCTGGGAGGAACCTTAACCAGTTAACCAATTAACCAGTTAACCAGCCCCCGTATCGGTCCTGCTTTTGGCCAAGGGCCCTGAGAGGGCATGGAGGAGCTGTTCCCAAGGGGCTGTCGCCAGAGACCACCCTGGTTCCTCCTCCCCCCCGGCTGCGAGGGTCCCTTTCCTTGCAGGATCCGCACACTTTGCAGCAGCCGTTGCACGGGGAATCGCGCCGGAAGCCGAGGCAATGAAGCTGTTGGAGAACTCAAGTTTCGAAGCAATAAACTCCCAGCTGACGGTGGAGACGGGAGACGCTCACATCATCGGCCGGTAAGCGCTCAGCCTGACATCACTGCAGAAAGAGTCGCGGTCCCACAGCGGCCAAGGGGAGATTGCTGCTGGAAGCACAACCTGAGTTGAGTTGAAGGGACCTCAAACCCCCCCAGTCCAACCCCCATGGGCAGGGACACCTCCACCAGCCCAGGCTGCTCCAAACCTCATCCAACCTGACCTTGGGCACTGCCAGGGAGGGGGCACCCACAGCTTCTCTGGACAACCTGGGCCAAGGCCTCACCACCTCACAGGGAGGAATTTTTGCCCAATATCTCATTTAAATCTTCTCTTCCAGTTTAAAGCTATTCCCCCTGGTCCCTCCCCAGCTTTCCTGTCCCCTTCAGGTCCTGGAAGGTGCTATAATGTCTCCCCACAGCTTTCTCTTCTCCAGGCTGAACAACCTCAACTCTCTCTTAGCTGTCCCCATAGCAGAGTCGCTAATATTCTGTGATGGGGCCGTGCTGGTGGCCGCATCCGAGTCCCCGTGGCGCTGGTGGCGGCGCTGCCCGCAGGCCTGGTGCTGTGTCTCCCCGCAGGATCGAGAGCTACTCCTGCAAGATGGCAGGTGACGACAAGCACATGTTCAAGCAGTTCTGCCAGGAGGGGCAGCCCCACGTCCTGGAGGCCCTGTCCCCTCCGCAGACCACGGGAATCAGTCCCAGCAGGTACCGTGGGCGTGGGGAGAGGCATCTGCCCTGCTGCAAACCATGGTGGGGTGGAGATTTGGGGAGGGAATGGGCCTTTGTTGGGGCTGGTGTCGTTGCTGTCACCCAGGGCTGGATGCTCTGTGTGCATGGGATCATACAATCTTTGGGGTTGGAAAAGAGCTTTAAGATCACCGAATCCAACCACTGACCCAGCACTGCCCCCTCTACCACTAAACCACGGCCCCAAGTGCCACATCCACGTGGTTTGTGAACCCGTGCAGGGATGGGGACTGCAGCACTGCCCTGGACAGTCCCTGCCAGGCCCTGAGAACCCTCTGGGGAAGAAATTTCTCCCAAAATCCAACCTCCCCCTCCCCTGGCACAACTTGAGGCCATTTCCTCTCGTCCTATTGCTTGTTATGGGGAGCAGAGACCAACCCTTCCTCTCCACCTCACTACCCTCTCTTTTCAGGAGCTGCAGAGGGGATAAGGGCTCCCCTCAGCAGCTCCTCCCAGTGCCCCCAGTCTGCAGGCTGTGGGTGTAGGCAGCAAGTCCCAGTCTGGGTGGGGCAGCTGGGGGTGAGCACTGAATTGGGCAGGGGAATCATTGGATTATTTGCTTGAAAAAGCCTTCTGGGACCACCCAGTCCAACCAGCACCACCAGTGAACCATCAGGTGTCCCTTCAGCTCCTCTTCTCCAGTTAAGCCTCCTTATTCCCTCAGCCCCCTCCCAAAATTCAGCTGCTCCAGAGCCCTCCCCAGCTCCCTTGCCCTTCTCTGCCCACGCTCCAGCCCCTCCATGGCCTTTTTGGGGCCCAAAGCTGAGCCCAGGATTG